TCATGAGGAATTGCAATATGGGTGCAAATAAATGCAGGAGCAGTTTCTAGAGACTGCTTTTGAATATTTGACTCAGTTCTCTCAGGATTATCCACATTAATAGTTATCATAGGTACTGACCCATGAAGCAGTACAGCCCTCCCAAGTTATATAGAAACTAATATCCTGATAGTTGGGGACAGCATCTCCAGTCAGCACTGTGTATGACAAATGCCACATATGACACTGACCGGGTATAAGTACAGGTCTAGTTGTGAGTAAGGGGCTAATGACTTACATTGTCAATAGCACAATAAGGCATTTTGTTAATGATATGTATAGCATTTTTGTGAGCTAATTTGAAAAGCATACTGATGAAGATTATGTGAATTTATTTCTATCATGTTACACAATACTCTTCTATAATTGTGGAGATACTGGAGGATCCAGCATCAGTGTAGTGTTCTGGATTACTGAAGTTTGTGTTATGACCTAAAGGTAGATATATTGCCATTGATCTATTTATCCCCATAGATTTGTGGGCTTCCATGTAGGTTACCTATTTTGTACCTGTTCCCATTCTTAAATATGGATTATCCTTGGTGCCTGGTAAGGCTTTCAGTATGATGATCATAATGGTCCCTTCTGACCTTAAAGTCTATGATTCTATGATGATCAGATTTGGGATGGGAGGATTTAGGGCAATAAGGCAAGACACTTTAAGAATGAACAGTGATCCTTGTTCCAATAAATTTTCCTTCAGTGCACTTGTGGTACACAGACAGCACAAATCCATTTTTGGAGGAACAAAAGGATAATTCCTTCCCAAACACAGAAGAGTCACCATTTCAGCTAAAGATTCACCCTTCAGATCTGGCAGGAGGAATTGCCCTAAAGAATTATTTTCAGGGATTTGCTCTGACCTTAGCTTATCTCAGGTTTTCAGCTGTCTAGGGCCCAACAGCTAACTACTTTTTGCCTCCTGTAGTCTTTGTGGGATAGACAGTGCTGTTGAAAGCCACTACCCAAATCAAGTATCCTATTTACAAAGATTCACCACTCTTGATGCAAAAGTACATACTTTTAATGCAGCATCAGCAATGGACTGACAAAATGGGTGCAACCCTTGAAACTGTGCATGAACCACAGAATTATGGCTACACATGGTGTTATTTTAATTTCCTTTCTGTTCAAACAGTAAGTAAAATGTTTAAGGTCATATCCCTTTAACAGAAAGAATGGAATATTCAAATCAGCATGTTCCAAAGCCGGGCATTTGGAAATAATGTTTGTGGGTAGCTGGGCTGGACTGAAGAAAAGCTAAAGGCTGATAGGAAAGAGAGCGAGATTAAAAGGAAAAAAGAAGTATTAAAACATTAGAAAGAAGCTGGAAGTGATGGAAGAGAGAGAAGGAATAGAGAAAAATAAAATAGGAAATATGGAAACAAGAGTAGTGAATTTGGACAGGGTGTAAATAGTTTTACAGTTCTTAGCAGTTACATAGCTATTTATATTTTCAAAGTGCAAAATATGACTCAGAGTATTATCCCCATTTTACGGAGGAGGGGACAGACACAGAGTGGGTTGTGACTTGCCCAAGCTCACAAAACTGCCTAGATGGGTTTAAGAATAACAATACTTTAGTATCTAGATTAGTACAAATAAAGGAAAATGACACTAAAGAATGTTTTAAAGTAACATACATTGATCCTGATTCTAGTCTGCTACTGATTTTATACTGGTGTAACCCCCACTAACCTCCCTTGATTTAAACTGGTGTAGGTAAGAGCAGAATCGGAGGCATTATTTTTAATAGTTTGTAGTTGAACAGAAAAAAATTGACTGTAATCACAAAAACCTATAAAAAAAGGAAGCACTGGTAACAGAAAAAATGGTAACCTATCCTTAACTGTTGTTCCTTTAGATGTAAGGCAGAAGAGTATTCCATGTGGGTGGGTGAGTAATCCATGCACCAGAGCTGGAGAACTTTGCCTAGCAGTACCTGTAGGGGGGCGCTTACACCCCCTGGCCTACCCCTCCCCATGCCGTACAAGGGTGGTGCCACCCTGAGCCCCTCAGTTCCTTTGCACCAGTAGTACAGATTCCGAAGCAGAAAGAATGGAGGGCAGGTCATGGGATACACATTTACATCACATCTTGAAAAACAACAGTTACAGTTTTTCTTCAAGTAGATGTAGCCATGTATTCTATATGGGTGACTCACAAGCAGTATTCGTCCGAGGTGCGGCTCGGGGTCTATTTAAAGGAGGACTGCCTGCTCAAAGTTTGCATCTGATCTAGACGCGGCTGTAATGGCATAGTGGTTTGCAAAAATATGCACAGAGGACCAAGTGGACACCCTAGAAATGTCCAATATAGGAATGTGATTTAGAAATGCCATTGGTATTGCTTGAGCTCTCATGGAATGAGCTTGTACTCCTTGAGGAGGCACAGCCTGGGCTACTTTGTATGCTATCATGATGCAGAAAGTTATCTACCTGGAGACTGTCTGTTAAAAGATCTCTTGACCCTTCAACAGATCCACATGTGAACCAAACAGTTGAGGTGATGAATGGAAAGGTTTAGGTCTATCCAGATAAAAAGCCAGACATTGCAGTTTAGGGAAGAACACTGATAGATATATAATTTGCTTCAGGTGAAAATGGGAAACCACCTTAGTTAAAACCTAGGGTGTGGCCACAGGATTACTTTGTCTCTGGAAAATTGTGTGTAAGGAGGCTCTGAAATCAAAGCCTGTAACTCTCACACTCTCCTTGCAGATGTTATAGCCACAAAGAAGGCAATTTTCTGACACAGATGAGAGAAAAATCTCTGCAACATGGCCAGCAGGTGCCAGGGAACAAAGGAGGATGAGCCAATTGAAGCTATAGCACCAGAGAACTCCTGAACTAGAGGAGAATCCGGGATTGAGAGGCAATGCAAATTTGATGCTGTCTGGTATGCCATCGACTTGGAGACAGTCAGCACTGACATCATTGTACCAGACTCAACAGATTCCCCATAATCAGAACTAGAGTCGACAGTACAGGCCCTTACTGCTCCTGCTGCTGTACTGGAGCGCAGTTGGACGGACCTGCTCCATTCTGCGTGCAGTATGGTGTTGGTCTGCACGCCTCATAAAAAAGGAGTCTCCTGGAGCCATAGAATGGTCCCGACTTGTTTTATGGAACCTCTTCCTTGCCACACCAGAGGCAGGTGAACAACCCCTTTTCCTCTTCAGGGAGATACCAGAGCCTGAGCACAGAGTGGCATCACTTGTCAGATCTGAAGGTGACTGCTGATCAGAAGGCGGCTTTGGTTCTGAAGTGGGCCTCATAGCCTGCTAAACCCAGGGTTGTGAGTTCAATCCTTGAGGGGGCCATTTGGGGATTTAGTTGGGGATTAGCCCTGCTTTGAGCAGGGGTTGGACTAGATGACCTCCTGAGGTCCCTTCCAACCCTGTGATTCGATGAACTTCCCCTTAAAGTCAGTTGTGCTGCAAGTGTCTGAACTCATGGCAGAATTTACAATATTAATTAGCAAATACAAGATTTTAATTTGTTATTCATGGGTAGTGGGTATCACAGGCCAGGGGAGGCTAAGCCTCCCCAAACAGCCTGGCATGGCCTCGCCCACATTCCACCTCCAGGCCCCCTCCGGCTTCCCACTCTCCCCCCCCCCCCCCCCCCCCCCCCCCCCCCCCCCCGCCTAGGAATAGGGCAGCCTGTGGCTGAGACTTAGGAGTGGCTGGGGCCAGTGCTCGTGCCACCTGACACTCCAGAGCTGGAGGTGCTGGGACCGCACCACCTACCCAGTGCTCTGGGGCCATGCTGCCTGCCCAGTGCCCAGCACACTGAGGCTAGCGGCGCTCAGGCAGCCTGGGGCGGCCAGTGGTGTCTCTGGTTGGGGGAGGGGCAGGGCCTCATGCAGAAGGGACGGGGCTGGGGATAAGCCTCCCCAATGGGGTTCACGTGCCTCCCACATTGTTATTGTTGTGTAACTAAGTTGTAGTATTTGAGTTAGCATCTGAGTCTCATCTTGCTTACCTTCTACAGTTTCTGATAATGGACCTGTTCCTGCTGAAATCAATTACAAAACTCCCATTGACTTTAAAGAGCATGGACCTGCTTATTCTATGAGGTGCTCCACTTCCATTGATATCAAAGTTGATGGCCACAACTTCTCTAGCCAGGGAAGTTTTGTATTTTTTTAAGGTATTAGCAAGAACAGATTTACTGGATGCTACTTTTTACAGTCGCATACAGGCTATTTTGTATTGTCAGAAATCCAAAACTGAAAATAATCTGATTCCCAAAAGTTTTCATTTTGAGTTTATCAAAAATGTGAACACTTTAAACTATTCTCTTTCATCTAAAATTCATTTTCTGTGGGGAAAAAAAGTTTTGCTGTAAAATTGTCTATCAGCTCTACTATTAAATCAGTACATAATGAAAACATGTTAGTAATTTTCACTCCTTGGTTGTCATGTATTAGTTCAATGTTGCACTTATTGGATTTCAGACAATGCAGGGTAATATTGATTTTAAATTCCAAGCAAACTATTTTAACTGATTTTTTTTTAATAATGAAAATATTTATATCAGATTTTGCAATTCTTTAAAATGAAAATTACCAATGTCTACTTAATACTATATAAAAAGTCAAAAATACCTAATGCTTTCTTATTATTATGAACACTCTTTATTTAATCAATTATGCTATTGTGGTTGGCCTTCTAAAAGAGCCATTGATTTCAATGGGGCCAGAATTTAGCCCATTTGTTCATAAGGGGACTTTTTGTTACAAAATGTTTTGGAAAGAAACTATTCTGTTACTTAAATTTCAGCCCTAAGTAGAGTTTGAATAATCTATTGCTGTATAAAAAGCTTACTGATGTATCTATCTCTCAGGTAAGGTACTATTCACTCTTTAGTTAGTACGGTATATTTTAAAAGAAATCTTAAAACTGTGATATGTTTAAGACTATAAAAGAGATAAAATAAAGTTTTATTGTGCGCGCACACACACACACACACAGCTAAGACAAATCCATAAAATGCTCTTAACACTGTTACAACATTCAACAAGATGCAGAGCTGCCCAGTTCAATAGCAGGAACACAGTGGAAGGCTTGTGGAAGCCCAATCCTTATTAACCGCTTGAGGACTTGCAAACCATTACGCAAATCTAAATTAAACTTGGCAGTGTTACTCCTATGGAGGAACATTCCCTTATTTTTAGGAATAGTTTTAAGGCAGTTTTTAAATATGCTGTTTTATGGTTTTGCTGCATAACTCCTGGAGAGCTGTAATCCTTTTGAGGTTCAGTTTTAAGGCACTTTGGTGGAAGTCTTCCTTTCTGGTGAGGAAGGATTCTGGTTTGTCACCTCCTGATCTCTCCATTCTGGGGAATTACTTGAAAGATGCTTTGTTGGAAGTCTCCCCTTGTGACAAGATGGATTTTTCTAGGGCAAGAGATACTTTCTCATTTGGGAGGTTATTTGCCAGTGGGTGAGGCAGGATTTTACTGCATCAGTCTCTTACTGTAGTGTGGAAAGGAGGCTGAGTAGTGTCCCTTTCAGGGGGGAGGGTGATCAGTCTCTTCCTGCAGTGAAACAGGGATTTTCCTGGAGTGGGAGTCAGTCACTGGTTGTATGAAGAAGAGACTCTACCATTTGGGATTCAGTCTCTCCCTGTACAAATGGGAGACTCCCTGCCACTCGGGATTCAGTGTTGCCCTGTATAAAGGGGAAAGCCTTTTCCATTTGGGGCTCAGTCTCTGCCTGTATGAAGGGGAGACCCGCCTCCATTTGGGATTTAGTTTCTCCCCTTATGAAGGGGAGACTCCCTGCCAGTCTGGGTTCAATCTCCCCTTGTATGAGGGGAAGACTCCCTGCCAGTCGGGGTTCAATCTCCCCCTGTATGAGGGGAAGACTCCCTGCCAGCCGGGGTTCAATCTCTTCATGTATGAAGCGGAAACTGCCTGCCATCCCGGGTTCAGTTTCCCCCTGTACCAAGGCCACCACCCTCTCCTTTCGGGAGTCAGTCTCCCCCTCCCATGCAGGGAGGCTGTGCTCTGTGTCACTAGCCCCTTCTCCCTCGTACTTGAGGAAGCTCGGTCTTTTCCTCCTCCGCGCTGTCCCAGGAGGGGGGAGACCTGCAGCAGGTCCCACACGGGCTGAGGCGCTGCAGCTGAGGCCGGTCGCAGTGGCCGCTAAGGTGCAGGCTAGTATGGAGAGGAAGAAGCTTTGGCCAGGGGTCGAGGAGAGGCCACGGTGCTGCAGTTCCTTCTCGGTTCGGAGTCTGCTCCGTACTAACTCCAAGAGGCAGGAGCACAGCGCGGCGGCGCCAGCAGCGAGCAGGGTGGCCAAGCCGTGCAGGAGGGGAGCGGCCACTGCGCCCCGCCGCAGCCCCAGGAAGTCCAGCACCACGGCCCCGTAGCCGCTCAGGATGGCCAGGACGCAGCAGACAGCGATAGAAACCATCAGGACGCCTCCGGCCCGGCCCAGGAGCGGGGAGTCAGGAGCAGGATCTCTCGGGTGCACGGCCCAGACCGCTCCCAGGACCGAATCGTTCCTCCTGTCGCCGCTGCTCACTAGGACCCAGCTGGGGTAGGCCCCGGCCGTGCATATCAAGCTGAGGGCTAAGCACTGGGCCACGGCCGCGGCCAGACTGCCCTGTCGTCTTCTGCCTGCTCCCGGGATGAGCCGACGCCGATCTTCAGAGAGCGACTCGCCGTGCACCGCCTCTTCTGCTTCCATGGCGACAGTGCTCGGAGTCCGCGAAGCGGGACGACTGAAGGGGCGTCAATTCCGCAACCCGCCGCGCTGCGCTGCTCCCATGGCCTTTGAAATAGCGGGACGCCGGGGCAGCGCAAACCGCGCCACTACCTCAGGGGGAGCTGTGGCCCGCGCACAGTGAAAGGGCTCGTGACCCTCTGGCTCGGGGAGGCTAGCCCCGCCCCTTCCGCGCGCCAGAACCCAGCGCCCCCCAGGCGGGGCCACGCCTGGCTGTTTGGGGAGGCTCAGCTTCTCCTAGCCTCTGCCCAGGGTGGCAGTGGGCCATGCTCCCCACCGAGCCCCACAGCAATCGATCCAGGCAGTGGCGGATTTAGAGTTAGTGGGAGCCTGTGCTCACTTCATTTTTAGGGCCCCTCCTTGGGACCCAGCCAAGAAAAAGAACATTCTCATTTATCTCCCCCGCCCCAGTTTTTCATTTTTTTCTTCTTCATCGCCTTCTGTAAGTAATAGGAAGTAAATTAAAATAAAATGAGGTACCTTGATTGTTTTTGTAGTCTAACTTATTTTTCCACAGACCACTTGAAAATCACTGGGGGTCTCAGCGGACCACTTAATGATCTTTCCAAATATTGTTTGTACCATTAGCTAACTATTGTAAAGCACTTTGGATAAGAGTTCTTTATAAAAAAATAATGTAAAAAAGCGTTGGGGTGCAGGGTCTGGGCAGGACTTATGGTGCGGGATGGGGCTCAGGGCTGGGGGTGAAGGGGCTGGGAGGGAATTAGGGTGCAGGAGCAGGCTGGGGGTTGGGGTGCAAGGTCTGGCCAGGAGTTAGGGTGCGGGAGGGGGCTCAGGGCTGGGACAGGGGGCAGGAGTCAGGGTGGGCAGTGGGCTGAGGTGTGGGGGGGATGCAGGAGTCAGGGCTGGGAGTATGTGAGGGGGTGCAGGAGTCAGGGAGGGAAGGTGGCTGGGGATGCGTGAGGGGGTGCAGGAGTTAGGGCTGGGTGTGTGTGAGTGGGGTGAGGAGTCAGGGAGGGCAGGGGCTGCAGGTGGGGGGGTGCAGGGTCTGGGAGGGAGTTAGGGTGCAGGAGTGGGTTGGGGTGCAGGATCTGGCCAGGAGTTAGGATGTAGGAGGGGGCTCAGGGTTGGGGCAGGAGGTTAGGGTGTGCCCCCTTATCTGCGGCAGCTCCCATTTGGTGCGACGGTTGCAGGTGGGAATGTGTGTGTGGGGGGGTGCAGGAGCACCCGTTTGGTGCTCAGGATGGGGGGGAACGTGGGGGGCTGCAGGAATCAGGGAGGGCAGGGGACTGGGGGTGTGTGAGGGGGTGCAGGAGTCAGGGAGGGCAGTATGTGTGTGAGGAGGGTGCAGGAATCAGGACAGGGAGCATGGGGGTGCTCCCAGCCCCCTGCCCCACCCCAGCTCAGCCCAGCCCAGCCCCCTGCCCTGAGCGGCTCACGGGGAGGGGTGGTATGTGTAGGGGGAGTGCGGGGGCCCCGCCTTTGCTCTGCCCTGGCCCGATTCCACCCCCTCCTAAGGCCCTGCCCCCATCTCTTCTCCACCTCCTCCCTCCGAGTGCACTGTGGCCCTGCTCCTCCCCCTCCCTCCCGGAGCCTGAGCACCGGCAAACAGCTGTTTGGCGACGGGGGAAGCGCTGGGAGGGTGAGGGAGAGGGAGGGGCGGGAACACGGCCCACTTGGGGGAGGAGGCAGGGGAGGGGGGAGCTTGGCTGCGGGTGGGAGCGGAGCCTGCAGCAGGAGCCCCAGGAGCTGGCAGGACCAAGCTTCTGCCCCCGCAGCTGCCCGACCTTGGGACCCCCTGTCATTGGGGGTACCCATGCCAGGGCACCCTGTGTTTCACTGTAAATCCACCTCTAGATAAAAAGAAGAGAAATAATTAAGTGATTGTGGTGGTCTAATTTTGTAACTTCTTTGTGGAATACATAGTTTTGTGTCAACAAAACTGTTGTGATTAATCTGATGCAGAAGAGAGAGAATTGTATATTTCCAGACATAATTCCAGATATTTCACGGATGTTTATATGAGGCCCTTCAAAATACCAATTTTATGTTATCAGGACAGATGTTTAGGTATTTTTGAATGATGGGACTATTATTATTTATAGTGAATATCATGATTTGGTTACTTTTTCAAGGTTATTGTAATAGTAATCTCTGAGAGTATGTATACATTTTTATTCCAACATGACTCAATACATTATAAATAAATACAAAATAATTCAGCCTATGTTGCAAATGTGCACAATATTTGGCACTTTGACCTATAAATTTTTGATTGTCAGTATAACAGATGGTAGATCACAATGTCAGTCAATTAATCCTTCATAATTCATCCATTTTCTAGTATTCTCAACCTCTGGTTTCCCCACCAGTAGCCAGGAAAGGAGATGCTCTGCATCCTTTATTTTAATCTCACCACCTTCAAGAGCTTGCATGGCAGTCACAACCCATCTGGACTGGGCTCTTTTCAAAGCCTTAGGCTATGGCTACACTGGCGCTTTACAGCGCTGCAACTTTCTCGCTCAGGGGTGTGAAAAAAACAGTACCTGCAGCGCTGGGAGAGCTCTCTCCCAGCACAGGTGTGCAACCACACTCGCACTTCAAAGCGCTGCCGTGGGAGCACTCCCGCGGCAGCGCTTTGAAGTTTCGAGTGTAGCCACGGCCTTAACACAGCTCCATAGCCTAATGAACAAGAGAATAAAACTATGTTGAATGCTTGACATTGCTGAACACTTGATTTTTAACTTCTGCATTCCTAAAGAGTAGTAAATGATATTAGCTCTGATGTTGATCCATGGAAGCAAATGACAAAACTCTTTACTCCCTGGTGTTGGATAAAGGTTCACTTATTTAGCAGATGCGTTTAACAAATATTTATTAAGGCAAGACACTCAGAATAATGATCATTACTCAGAAGTGGAAAGCTCATCAGTACAGTCTCAATACAGTCACTTCCAGCATCGGACAATACAGCTTCAACCTCCCTTTGTTATACAAATTTATTTATAACTTTTTGTTGTCTTTTCTTAAACAGGTATTAGTCTCGCATTTCCATGTTAACCAGTGGTGCAAGTAGAAATCATTTCTTACCGGTACTGCACTCATGGGAGGGACACCAGGAAGGGCACGTGACCTCCCTATGTGACCCTCCATGTGATTCCTTCCCGCCCAGCCCGGGACCCCCATACTCTCCCCATCCCTTCCAACACCCCCCTTACCTGTTAAACAGATGCAGTTGTAAAATGATGCTTTGGGCCCCTGGTGCCATCTGTACTCTCAGGTGTTATTGAGGATCCAGCAGCACCCCAAATTGAAAACTTCTTAAATGAAAGCACCCCATTTCCCTTAACACACTATCAGTGCCTCCCTTACGTCCAAACTAAACTTCTGCCAGTTTATCTTTATCTAAGTATTGCTCTCCACCAGGCACTAGGAAAGCAAAGATGCTGCGCCATCTGGGTTTGATGGAAAAGAGGCATAGAACTGTGTGTGCCATGTATATCTTGATAGAACAACAGCCCAAATTGTTTTATTTTCCTCAGCATGACATACAGGAGGGGCAATCAAAATCAGCCTGGCAGAACATGCATGAGAACTGTCTCTGGACAGATAAGCAATTGATCAAAATCACATTCTCTGATCTCTTGGGGCCAAATCCTGTTTCCATTGAGATCAAAAGGAGTTTTGCTATTAAGTTCAATGTGAAAAGGCTTTGCCATTCGGAGAGGAAAGAACAAAACCACTCAAGCAAGGGCTATGTTGCTTATACCACAGGTATCAAAGGCTGCTGACTCGTGAGAAAGTCAGTAGACAGCTGATCTTTGTCCATTGCAAGGGAGAAATCAACAATCAGTAAGGCTAGAACAGTCTCTGTACCATATCCAACTCATAAGTCCATCTGCAAAGGATCAAGGAAATAGAAAGGCTCCAGATTACCTTAAAGTACCTTGGTTAGAATGCTCCCATTAGTATACAGACGCTCCCTGGGTTATGCAAGACCCGACTTACGCAAATTCACACGTACGGAAAAAGTTCCATAAGCCAGAAATAGGATTTTCGAGTTGTGAAAATTTTTGCACAACGTACGGGTATACATTTCCGACTTACGCAAAATTCAAGTTATGCAAGGCTTTTCGGAACGGAACAATTGCATAAGTCGGGGGGCGTCTGTATGTTCATAGTCCAGAGGCTGGAGCAGGAAAGAGTCCAGAGGCTGGAGCAGGAAAGAGGCCAGAGCAGAAAAGAGGCAAAATGGATACGTTTCCAGGCCAGGGCCTTTTAGCTTCTGCCAAGTGCCACGTAAAGGGAAATCTGTTCTCACTGTGAAAGATGGTGTTTGGAGTCACATGGGCAAGTTACATGTCCATCACTCCCACCCATATTCTAGTTAGAACATTCACAAAAAGTCCATTAAGTGTGGACAGGCATTTTCCAGGGTCCATTGTGAGCTAAGTGTTCCTTAATGGGCCATTCAACTTGACTTGTCCCTTCATGTGCTGGCTAAATACCTTGTGGGTGTTACCACAGGAGCAAACATGTGGTAAACATAGCTAATATTCATAACTTCAGATACCAAGATGAATATACATGTATAGAAATAGCATAATCATAAGTACCAGCTATTTCACCTACATGACTATTCCCAAAAGAGATTCTGAAAAATCACACCACTACCTCAGACCCTATGTACCAGCACCATGCCCCACTGGAGTTTTATCTGTTATGTAACAACAGATATGGAGCCAGTGACATGACTCCATTTAGGTTAATTTTTAGCTGTTCAGGTGTGACTGCACCTTTAGTCAGTGAGGGCATAACTGGCTGGCACATATTCAGGTTAATGGGCTTCAGTGTTCCTTTGCAGTTAAATTTTTAAAGTTCATAAACCTGGTATGTGCTGAGGTGGTTTAAAGCATAAACCACCTCAGTACAGACTTTTAGGTTTGCAAATCTGTGAACCTCTGCCTCTTTGAGATTTTATTATTATTATATTATTATTATTATTATTATTTTTCTGGTCATAATGTGGGAGGGTATTCTCTCCGCCCTCTGCTCATGAGGTTATGTATCAGGTTTCAGAGTAGCAGCCGTGTTAGTCTGTATCCGCAAAAAGAA